GATACGCAGAGCCGGTTATTTAACGTGCTAGCTCACAACATAACAGTCTACAAGAAGATGATACATTATTCTGACAGCCGACCAGTCTTTGTTATAATTATTCCTGAATGATGCATGCTTACAGGAGAATCAATGAATACCAATTTTCAAGTCTTTGGTTTGACCCGACCGGGGTTCGAACCCACGATTTCCCGCACTCGGGGCAAGCTAGATACCACGAGACTACTGAGGCGGTATACAAAGAAAGTAGTGATTCAAAAGAAGAGTGACAAGGTGAGTATATCGAAGGTATCAGTGTATATCTACATCCAGAGGGGACGCTTCGAACGCAAAAGTTGTATATATAGCAAATATACTGTTGATCGATTTGCAATGGAAAGCCATCACGCAGATAGTGTTGTACAAACGACAACATGGGTCTATCTTAGTACTAGTATTTACAAGTGGAATTAAAATGGGATATAAACAGTTTTTTTTTCGATTCACGGCTGCAGCCCCCATATGTAGCCCTTGAATCATTCCAGTGACGTAGCTTAAAAGGCGTGTGGACACAAGTTGGTCCAGTCGGTGATGGTGCGTGGTATATAGCTGTACATTTTGTATTAATTTTTTGTTGGCATCTGCAGAGGAAGTAATAAAGATATGATAAAGATCTAGCAGATATAGCAAATCAATTCTTTGCGTAATGTTAGTAACCTGTAAGATTTTTTCAAGTATTCTAATTAAGTCTAATCTTTTGTAAAAGTAAGATCTTTTTATATGAAAAGCTATTATTTTAATAAACAAATTGACTTAAGGGGTACAGAACACATAAGGGAGTAAACATTTTATAAAAATCTGCTGAACGTCTCAATCACATACTACGAGTAAAGATAAATAAAGTGATCACAATTAGTGTTTGTCAAACTGCTATGTATCCAATGAAATTTTTCCTATAAATTGTTTTTCAAATTTTTTGATATTTTCATATTTTTGTCAGCAGGTCAAAGGAAGTTTTTTGACAACATTTTATGAAAAATAAACGAGCCAAATCTATTTCAGTCAAAGTGCTGGGTGTGCCCTTAAAGGGGCATTAGCTGTCAAATTCCTATTCACCGATTTGACTCAAATTCTCATATATGATTTATAAATTGAGAAATGGTCGCCCCCTTTTCAGTAACTCAAGGAGGTTGTGTATGTAGATATATGTTTTTATCAATTGTCACCTGGTTAGAATGTACAAGGTAAAACTAGAATTTTACATGGCTAAGTGAACGACCTCAGCGTGAATCCAATAATTTTGTCGTGATAATTAAATGTACAAAGTCAGGCGGCACATGAAATCGTCTATTACTGCAACCAACAACAAAACAGTAGTCCGTGTTACAATCTTTTAATGTGTCATTGTTAATAAAGTTGTCTCGTCAGTATATATTTTGATTCAAATGATGCTCGTGTTGAACACGATTAATACATGCGTAACCAATCTTTAGCTAATGGGTTAAACCGAAGGCCACATGAATACGGATTCAATGAAGTCGAATTATTCACTTGCAAGTGAATAATTCATCAGCGATGTTTCTTAGCTTATTTTGACCAAATTGAACTAAACTGGCTGCTAAAAGGGAATTATTATTTCATTATAAAACTTTCATTAATGGTTGAACAAAAAACAATCCCACTTTAATTTTATTATATCTCGTAGCTAATGCCCCTTTAAACGCTATATGCATATAGTTATCATTTTCACCTCATTTTCTAAGACACCAGCTTGTTTTATCCGATTAGAAACAAGTGTCACATAGGTAAAAGGAATACAACTAGCGTAACGAGTGTGAAATAGTATAATTAAACCGGCAATAGTACGTTAATTTGAGCTGCGGGTTTATTGATATTAAAATTCACCGAGTCAGATGTCAGAATAGATAACAAAAGAAACTAAGCAAAATGACAATGATACATAAATTAACAAAGGACTACTAGCAGTTTCTGACATGCCAGCTACAGACCTCAATTAAACTGATTGAAATATTATGTCTTCATCAAATGAAAATCTAGCACAATCCCTACATATTTGCGTGTAAGAAACCAGTATATAAACTATAATTGCCTGTGATACATGATCAATGCAAATGAGAAAAATGTGTACCAGGAAAGTTTGAAATGTTTTTACTGTATCTTATTCACATAATCAAGGCGGGCGGAATGTGCACAATGTGTATGATTATGTACGAATTAACGTATTATTTGTAATGATCGAAAGGCAATATTATAAGAAAATAACGAATTCAAATTTGAATTTTCATCACAAGAGAAATAAAATAAAGGAGTTTTTTTTATGAAAGACCTGGTATATAGATATAGGAAGATGTGGTATGAGTGCCAATGAGACAACTCTCCATCCAAGTTACAATTTATAAAAGTAAACCATTATAGGTCAAGGTACGGCCTTCAACACGGAGCATTGGATCACACCGAACAGCAAGCTATAAAGGGCCCCAACAAATTTACTAGTGTAAAACCACTCAAACGGAAAAACCAACGGTCTAATCTATATAAAAACGAGAAACGAGAAACACGTATGAACTACATAAACAGACGACAACTACTGTAATCAGATTCCTGACTTAGGACAGGTGCAATCATTTGCATGGGGATTAAACGTTTTAATGGTACCAAACCTTCTCCTTTTTCTGAAACAATAGTATAACATCACAACATAGAAAAACATACTATATTTACTTTTCTACATTGGCTAGAGGTATAGGGGGAGGGTTGAGATCTCATAAACATGTTTAACCCCGCCGCATTTTTGCGCCTGTCCCAAGTCAGGAGCCTCTAGCCTTTGTTAGTCTTGTATTATTTTTAATTTTAGTTTCTTGTGTACAATTTGGAGTTTAGTATGGCGTTCATTATCACTGAACTAGTATATATATTTGTTTAGGGGCCAGCTGAAGGACGCCTCCGGGTGCGGGAATTTCTCGCTGCATTGAAGACCTGTTGGTGGCCTTCTGCTGTTGTCTGTTCTGTGGTAGGGTTGTTGTCTCTTTGACACATTCCCCATTTCCATTCTCAATTTTATAAAATATCAATTGGAAGGCTTAACTCAATCAAAAAACGTAAATTAACACACAATGAACGAATAAATTTGACCTGTGACACCTGAATGCAAATACACAGTTAATAAAAAATTACAAGGGATAAATAATTAAAGTCAAAAGTAAATAAACAGGTTTAAACAAAGTTAAAGTATGATATCACTGTGAAATGTCAATTAATTTTAAGAAATTCATCACTTTTGAAGAAACCTGCGTTATATTAACTATCTTTAGTCTTACGTTTGCTATGTTGTGTCTTGTGTACTATTAATTGTCTGTTTATCATTTTCCGTTTAGGAATACCAAGACATTTCTTTCATATCAATTAAACTAATCTAACACTTGGTACATATGGGTAGAATATCAAAAATAAAACTATACAATTAGTGCTAAATAAAACTTCCTGTACAGGTCCAAGAACAACATCTAAGGAAAAATGAAAAAAATTTTGATGTTCATAGTATGAAGAAGTGAAAATTTGTAGTAAAACGAGATAATCAAAGCTGGTATATAGACAAGATCCATGTTAACATTAAATAACAAAAAAGCATTACAAATAGTATCAACAGGGCAAATTAAAAAGAAAGTACGATTTAGAGTACTCGCAGTTACTGACAGCTAGTTAAAAGCCAAAACAATTAATAATAAAAAGCATGCATCAGATACTAAAATCAACTAAAATACATCCCAGGGATTTAGTATTTTAACGTCATGAACAGTCAAAGAAGACATGACTTGTGCAATGCAAAAAATAAATGTATCGACAGGTAGTAGGATAGTTAAGAGTGACTTTTTTATAGATAAAAATGAACGTGTGTGTGTCTCTATACATCCCGTTTGAAAAGAAAATACAAATTTAGTTATGTTTTAATTTGTTAATGACAAAATCGATAATAGTGCCAATGTAAACTATATCCAGAGATCTAATTACAACATTTGTACGATAACCCTTACTAATAAGTTTGTTTAAAGGTGCGATGAGTTTACACGGATCACATAATGATTTCCGCGCTTTAAGTACAATATTACCATAACATTTAGGATGTGAAATACCATTTTTAATTTTAAGTTTTCTACAGGTACAGCCAAATTTACTAATCAAATCTTTGTATCTATGAAAGAATTTATGTACATATTTGATTTATACGCTGAATTTATTTAGGACTAACTAGTGATTTAAAATTCCCGGGCTTGTATTTCCTATCATGATTTCCTTGATAGAGGATTGCTGCTCACAGGGAAGCTATTAAACCAAGAGTTCCAAATGGTGAAGTTGAAATCATCCCTTCGTAAATTTTACGGACGCCATCACGAGTTGGTTGAGAAGCAGGATTTGCTTACCCTTCCGGAGCATCTGAGATCACCCCAGTTTTTGTTGGGGTTCGTGTTGCTTAGTCTTTAGTTTTCTATGTTGTGTCATCTGTACTATTATTTGTTTGTTTGTCTTTTTATTTTTGGCCATAGCGTTGTCAGTTTGTTTTCGATCTATGAGTTTGACTGTCCCTCTGGTAACTTTCGTCCCTCTTTTAAAAGATAAGAGAAGTGTGAAGCGATCGACGAAGTATTATGAAGGGTTGGATGTATAGGTCGGCGTTGATGCCATGTAGCTCTTTTCTTCAGTTTTTATACTTATTATTTTTCTATGCATTATATTTTTACCCTTTTTTCTGCACGTTTTGCCCATTATTCTCTATTCTGTAAAGCTAATCTAGACCCTCATATTAGTGCATTAACAAAAACGCCTTTAAACTAGCATGTCTTATTTGTGTGTAAACACTAAGTCTTGCTCAATTAATTTTGCTTTTTAACATTTTCTATCCGAGCGTCAATTATGAGTGTTTTGTAGACGTAACGCGTCTAGTGTACAAAGCTTTAAGCCTGGGATCTCTGAAGAGTTTTTGTTCACTATTATAAATTATGATATTAAAGCTTCATCATATTTTAATTCAGTAAATTGCAATTTGTAAAACAGATTCAGTAAATAGATATGATAAATATAAAAAAATAAGTAGAACAAACATGTACTGTTGTATACAATGTAAATAATATTAAAGATTTGTTCTCATATCTATGTTTAATGATGCTGAACCATGTAAATGTTTAAATAAATAAATAAAATAAAGATGAGTGTGTTCGTTGATTTACAAATCCGATGCCGGTCGCCTCTCTAAATATTTCTGTACATTAGCATTTGTTTTCACACTTTCGTAAAACTTTTTGACTTCAGCAAAGTCTTTGTACACACCTTCGCCCATTTTTGGGTTAGATGTTAGTCTATCAATCATGTCAAAAGCAGCCATATCCGCAACTGTCAACTACAAATGATAGAAACGAGAGAATTACATCATGTGCTTACTTTTTCCCTTTTTGTTAACGATTTCATAAAAGTTTTCCGAAAGAATGGTGTTACTATAGGAAAGGTTTCAACTTTTAAGAAAGAATGGTACTACTATACCAAATGCTTCAACTTTTCCAAAATAACGGTGTTACTTTACCAAAAGCTTCAACTTTTCCGAAAGAATTGTGTGAATGTGCCGAAGACTTCAAGACAAGCATTTGGCTAACATGGTAAAAATTACGCAAATGATCTACTGGTAACATTTGAACGGATTTCAGCCGATAAAGTATTTTAAATGACAAGGCTTTCAAGGAAGACGCCAATTTGACTTAAAATTAACCACGTGGTCAAGAAACTTACTTGTGGAAGTACTATTCTTACAACAATTACAACCTATAAACTTTAGCTTCGACCAAACTGCACTTTACATAATCAAAAACGAATTGTCAGCAGTCCATTGATTTGGAATCTCAATATCATTAAAACTGTCTTCATATTTAGTTCCTATTGGCTCAAACGTCATGATTTCTTTCATTCTCTATCTAATTTAAAAAAAAGTATATGTACTTCTGTCGTCTGAGTGTATAACTTTTCAGAGGATTGACAATTTCCAAATTATATTGCCTTTTTTGTATGTTTGTTACCTTAGATCCTACGAGACATTTTCCACCATTTTCTTTCAGTAACTTGCACAAATATGTGAAAAATTGGGGTAAAACATCTGTACTAAACTTTTTACCCAGTTCTTCCTAAAATAGAGAAAATAAAAAAAATGAAGTTCTTTTTCCAATTTTGAAATTATTGAGAAATAAATAAATCAAGTGAAAGTGCAAGAAAGTCTGTAAACAGTATGGGGTTTTCTCATTGTTGAAGCCGTATTGTGACCTATTATTGCTTATATCCACGCCATTTTAACGAACTCTTTTGAATAGTTGTCTCATTGGCAATCATACCACATCTCCTTATTTTCTTAAAAACTAGACAAAATATACTAGTAGTCTCACGATTGTTATTTTCTGTGATATTTTTGACTTTTAGAACGTAATTGAGATTCTCGTAGATAAATCGGTCCTGATGCTCTATATTGTTTAGATGTTCGTAGGTTAATCGATCTTAATGCCCTATATTTGTATGATTTACGTACTTGGTAAATCGGTCCTGATGCTCTATATTGTTTAGATGTTCGTAGGTTAATCGATCTTAATGCCCTTTATTTGTAAGATTTACGTACTTGGTAAATCAGTCTTGATGCTCTATATCAGTGAGAATTTCGTAGGTAAATTGGTTTTCATGCTCAATATATTTTCGTAAAGTAAATATGATGCTGAATATAATGGAGATTCACGTAGATACATTCATTCCTTGATACTTTATACAGGGTGTTAAATTAAGGCGCGAATACAAGATGGGGAATACACCAGTCAATTAAGCAGTATACTAGTATTCTATTGTAAGCTACTAGTATTTCTATCTTGCAATATCGTCCATCCAGGGGTTCAAATTAACATTTGGTATTGAAAGATCCAGGACCTTTGACACTCCAAACTGAAAGGTCCACAACCTAAATCCCAGGTCCTACTTTTACAGGAAAAATTTCATAACGCAATAAGATACAAAATTAATGAACTTCTGGAGTGAGGTTAGTTTGTTTCATCATATTTGAACTGCATGTGAATAGTTCATAGTCACTGAAGGGTTTCCCTTTTTTGCAATACTGTATGCAGTGCTGAAAAGAACCTTATATCTATTTTACTGATCAGGCTTACATTCTGCTTGAGAATACATTGTCCAAGTTAAGTGTCTGACAATTAATCTTTAGTCATAATTAGACTTAAAATTTGGGTCATTTTCATGGATCCACTGCTTTAAACAAGATAAATGCTGGGGTGTCACTTCGTATATTTTTATTGGGTCTATTTTAAGATTTTGTGTTCCCCTTACAAGTGCACTTTCTTTTTCTGAATGGCAGGGGAACTTCTGGCAGTATGTGCATGACATTAGACCAGTTGATTCATCAAAATATAGCCACGGTCGATAGATTTTCCTGTGGGGCTTAAATGTCTGTTCCCGTTTTTCACGATCGCATTTTTGGTCTTTAGTGAGATCTTCATTTGATTTCTTTTTGAAGGCGTTGAAGACACAGGCACTTGTTTCTATCCATGGGAAGGTTGAATATCCTTCTATATTTATGGATAGTCGACCTTCCCATGGAGAGAAACAAGTGCCTGTGGTTGAAGACCGTTCATAATCTTCAGGCTTTCTCTTGGAAGACGTGACACCAAAGTGAAACGGACTCATTTTGTTAAAAAATGTCTAAATGATTAAATGATTTGTCACGTGACTTCTTGCAACTATTTATAACATTGTGTTTCCAAGAAAAACAAGGTTAACAATAACTTTCATCACTCGTCGGCAAGGTCAGGGATGAAACATTTTTTTATCTCAATTTCAATAATAATATGGCTTAAAAATGACAATACAGATGGTTAAAAAGGTCAGCAAAGACCATTTTTATTTCCTTTAAGATCGAAGGTCCGTCGGGCGTAGTTAGTAACCAAAACGAAAGTCCGATTGCAACAGTGGAAGGTCACGGACCTCGGACCACCGCTAATTTGAACCCCTGCGGCATCATACCGTTCCACCCTTTTTATTTTTTTTTTACCGATTGAATATTGTAATTCCCTTATTTATTCGAAATATCATTGGTTCGTTTTTATTATAATGTCATTACGCCCAGAGTTTTATGCTCATCTAAGAAACAACATGCCATTTTTCGAATATTATTATATTAATATGCAGTTTTAGCCCCACCCCTGAACTTGTTTGTCATATTGGAGTCTTTACCTTATATTTAACCATGTAAGACAGGTTCATGATATAAATTTTAATCTTATTGATTGTTTGATTGTTAGTATTTAACGCCACCTTCAGCATTATTGGCTATATTGTGGCGGTCAGTTTTGATTGGTGTAGAGAGCCGGAGTGCCTTGTGAGAACCACGGACCTTCGGTCGGAAACTTACAATCCTAGTCAATCAAGATTGAAGTCGAACACACCTACTACGTGCGGGGATCGAACTCATAACCTCAGTAATATAGAAGATGAAGTACTTTGACCATTCGGCCGCCCGAGACCCCACATTTAATCTTACATTAAATTTGTTAATTGTTTATTTGTAACATGTGCAATGTTCTTGTATGTATGTATTTCTTTTGTTATTGTTTCTAATTTTGATTATAAATACGAACCTTTTTAGCTTCATCCTTTTCTAAATATTGTTTAATCACAGCACTGAACAGGTCGAATACAGTTTCAATGATGATGTCACACTTTGTATTTTCCATATTATTTGAACCATACAATCCTGTTAAATTTTTTAAATTGTTATGTAGAATATGTGAGGGTCGTGTGGGGGGTCTTTATTTCTACATTCTTTAAGTTTTAACCATGTTACTCTATTCTTTATTGTTTTAATCTGAAATCTGGTAGACAATAAAGGTTTTCCATTTTTAATTGTGTTTGATAAATTCACTATAAATCAGCATCTTCGATTGATTGGTTGATTGATAGTTGGTATTTCCACTGCTTTTAGTACTGTTGGCTATACCGAGGAAGCCAGGAAGGAGGAAGCCGAAGTGCCTGAAGAGAACCACCGACCTTCGGCAGTAAAAATGACTGTCTTAGACAATACAACATGTTAAAATTAGAATCGGACTCAAAACTCCAGTGTTGACAGGCTAGTGATACAGAAGATGAACGACTAAGGGCCAAAGGCCTAAGTCTTTTTGAAGATAGTTTATCTCGCTGGAGAATGTAATAAGAAAGAGATGTAAAAAGATTTATTAACATTATTGGCCTTCCCTGTTTTTTTCACTGCTTACTTTATGGATTGTTGGAGGCCGTGCGTTGACCTGCAATTGTTCATGTACTTGTGATGTAGTCTTCATGGGTATAGTTGACTCATTTGAAATCATACCACATCTCTTCATTTTTATACTAATTCTAATTTTATAACCCACAGTCGCTATAAATGGGATTAAGCTATTGAGACAGCACATTTTTTTTATTCTATTTTCACTAAATGCGTTATTTGTATTTTAGAATTTGGCTTAAGGTACACACAGATAAACTGTTGGTATAATGTATTGTACATTTTAGTAAACAATTTTTGAGATAAAACAGATGTGAAATGTGTTTATTGGAAGTTGGCTTAACCTCAGTAACACACCCAAAAGAGCTATCAAAATAAAATATACAGCAAGCACTAATAAATTATATATTAAACGTTATGTTATAGATGTACTCGTTTTTTTCAATACAAGATTTTAACGCAGAAAAAAAACCAACAACAACAAACCATAGTGAATTTTGTTATCGATTAGCAATTTCCGAATTAGGCTTTCAGACTTAATATAAAACTTACCAAATTCACGAGCAAGGTGCCGGATAATGGCACCCGTCTGGTTTATCATTGTGTTATCATCTACAGTTAATATAGGCATCTGACCATATGGTGTTTCTGAAAAAGATCACGAACGCAAGGTTTTCACTATTTTTTTATTCAATTGTGTTGCAATTAGCTACACTTGTGTTCTTTATTTATATTTCCTCGAGAATGTTAGCTCGATAAGATTTTTCTTTTTGATTTTCTTTTCTGAACCACGATATTTTGATTAATGGAGAAGGATATGCAGCTTTCAAATAATAGGAAGACAATTCATAGTTTGAACCACACCAACAAACGACAACCACTGAAAAACAGACTCTTGACTTTGGACAGGCGCATAAAAATGCAGCAGATTTAAACGTTTTAACAGGCGCAAACCTTCACCCTAACCTGAAACAGTGGTATTACATTACAACATAAAAAGTCACACAATAAAATATCAATTGAAATGGCTCTACTGGATTAAAAAGAAGTAAATATACACTGAACGAATAAGTTTGATCTATGACACAATATAAATAAAGAAAAATGTTTCAATGTCAAAGACACCTTTAACCTAGGACAAAACGGCGTTAATTTTAAATATAAATTTTGTTGTTAGGAGTACAGAAACATTTTTTACAAAATAAATTTGTTATTCATAGTACGAGTACAGAAGTGAAAATATTTAGTCATACTAAACACTTATCAAAGGTGATATAACACAAAATAAGTAAACATTGAATAACAGAAATGAATTACAAATTGTATCAACAGGTCAAATTAACACGAAAGTACGATTTGAGGGTACTCGCAGTTACTGAAAGCTAGTTAAAAGTCAAAAACAATTAATAATAAAAAAATCATGCAATGTTCATTTATAAATAAGTTAACTTTGCCTTATGTTTTAATTTCTGGCATTGGATAACTATGTATAGAATCGTGATTTGCGAGTTCGTATTTAAATCCGTGTATAAGAATGCAACTCGAATAATTTTTACCGTCAAAGTTAAAGTTTGAAAACGAGGACATGTTTAGTGATTGGGGGATAATATGTAAAGATAGTATATGGAATAATGGACAACTAATAGCAAATAAGGAAAAATAAAAAGAAACGGTTCTTCAAATTAAAAAAAAAGAAAAAGAAAAAGAAAGACTTCTTTTTTCCAGACCCTCCTGAATCAGTTAAACATCGGTTATATAATGTAGTATATTAATGAATACCGTATTGAATTATAAATGGACCATTAATTATTGCACTTCGTTCATAAATGATAATTATTCTATAGAATATCGCATGTCTGTCTACGTTAACGCTTGACTTAGCATAGAATAAAAATAATTACGTAAACAATGGAAATCTTAAAACCACCATTTTAAACCACCAATCATTGGCAGACAAAAGAAAGATTAAAGCTATTAAAGACAGAGTAACCACCACTTATTTACATGTATTAAAAAAAAAAGAAGACAGTATTGCTTAAGAATCTGCACATAAACATAAATTTTTCAAACATGTAACGCACCTGCTTTGGTCTAGAAATTCCTGAAATGATGACATATATTATACATAACAAACAAAATTTGCAAAATAATCACATTTGTTTGCCAATATCATAGACAGCTAATAAACAGCGATTGTTTTTTGTTTAGATATTTGTTTTCGTCTTAGCATGGAGAGTTGTCTCATTGGTACTCATACCACATCTTCTTATATCTATTAGCAAACAAGCTATGTAAAGATTACAAAAACAAAATCAAGGTTTTATAAACCCCTTCTAATTCTGAAAGGTGCGATACACTAAAAGAGATTTGGACATTTAAAGTGTCGGGAAAAGACATTTAAAAATATATATTGATTCCATGTAGAACAGGTTTAAGAATGTATAATCGATAATTCATTAGATATGATAGATACCTTAATACACAAATCTTTATCATGTACCTATAGTCACGCACTAAAAAAAAAAATTAAAATCCTTGATATAACCACCTTTTTACCGCAGGAAATTGCGAATACTAGGTGAAATAGCTGTTTAAGAATGTGCAAGTAGTAAAGATAACCCTGCCTTATAAATTTTTGCACGTTAAAGAAATAACTAGTCACAGTTTAGTAATGATAACCTCTAAAACACAAAACAAGGAAAACAAGGAATATTATCCTCATATTTGGTTCAGTATAATACAATGTGATACAATCATGTCTTTCACCAAACGTTGTTATCAAAATTTATTATTAAACAATTATGAAATCATGTTTTCCTACATCGATCCTAGTGAAAATAGCCTTTTTCGATTAAATTTTTTTTTTAAAAATTGTGGATTTAAGGGATGGGTAGTTTTTCTTCTTGACAAACGGATTTATTCGTCTTTCAATAAGATACAGGAACAAGATACTATTTTTTAACCTCAATGTTATATATATATATATATATATATATATATATCATTTTCCTTAATATCAATGAATGCCACATAATTGTTTTCGGTTTGCTTCCTTTCTGAAATAATAATTTCTATCAACATTTTAGAATTAAACAATTCAATAATAAATAAAAACAAATTATCCTAGCCCCTTCTCCATGAAAATAATAATAATAATAAAAAAAAAAAAAAAAATGGTCTCGTCCCAAGGTATTTTGAATGCATATTTAAAGATATTCAATTTCAAAGACACACCATTAATAGAAGTTGTACTAACATGAACTGGTTTATATATAATGAAATACAATTCATCTTATCTTACTTGAGGGATGACACGGGTGTCATTTTCCAAATTTAGCTTTTTTGTAATTTTTTCCCACTTTTTTACCTTCTTTTAAATGACCCCACTCTGTTACTCCCTATATCCCACATCCAACCTTTTGGACCCCTAAATATCCCAAATCACCAAAAGCAGTGATATTGTTGTCTTTTTTCAAAACTACCTCTACCGTTTTTTATTGGGAAAAATGCATATTTTTTATTGAAATTGGGAAATTTGTATATTTTATTCTAAACACATTTCCGATTTTTTGCCGACCTTTGCAGTCTTTTTTGCACTTTTTTTTCATGTCTATTTTGGTTGTCAGACATTTTCAACCTGAAAGGTACTTTTCTAAGAGGGGAAAGAAACAGAAGCAATGATGGTACTTAATGCATTGAAAACCACATGTGTTACAAACACCATGATGCTGATCAGAAAACCGGATCTCAAAAGTGCTTTCTAATATCAAAATAATAACATGAATACGATATTTACAATCATTACTACCAATGCCATCACTGTTTGGGGAAAATGTAAAACTTTTTGGGAGGAATTTTAAGCCATTTTTTTTAGTAATTTGGAATTTTCTTTAGGGGAAAAAGCCGAATTTCGGCTGTAATTTGAGGCAAATAATATCACTGAAAAGCATGTCATTCCTTCCCATCTTACTTAGTTTGAAAGCTGTCCATTTATCGCCACTCAGTCTCTCGTCCTCAAACTCTTTTCCAGCCAAAGCAAACACAAGTCGAGGCAGTTCTCCTCTTCCTTTAATGTCGAAGTAAGATATTTTGAATTTAGCAGGCATTTTGACTTTATGTTGATATCTTAAATTAATTGCCAATGAAAATATAAATAGCATGTATTAACTACAAAAGCTATTTATATTATACATCTAAACTATGTCCTAAATAATGCCTTTAATCCATGTTCTATATATTGACTCTATCGATATATATCTTATAATACGATCTAGATATTTACACTATTTTCAATTACTCTTAGTCTTTCAGAATTTGAAATATTGATCTGTCAATATCTAATTTTAAAAGTCTGTCATCTACATTTCTCTTTTAAATACTTGTATGCGGTAGCATATATTGTCTAAATTGCTTGTGCTATGTTTACAAATATTCTTTGAGATCGTCAAATAATGGATTTTTTTTTGTTTGGAGACCCCATTCAAGATTTACGAACAAAACTTTTCTTTAAACAGACATCATATTATCGAATTATTCATACCTCGTAATAAATTGTGGAAACTATTAATACTTTTAAACCCAGAAGGAAAACAATGTTTCAACAGCTTACAATTTTTTAATCTGATGTAAATGTATAAACTAATAATAAACATATAAGCAGAATGTGTCTGAGGACACGAATGCCTCCGCTCAAGCTTTGCAATTTTTTAAGTTAAAAAGGGGCATAACTCTAGAACGGGTTATGACACACAAACCAAATTCGAACTCTGTCTTTGTGTTGTGGTGCTTAACATTGTGTATGAGTTTCATAACATTTGGATGAGAAAAACTTAAGTAAGAGTGCGGTAACAAAAATGGGACGGAAGGGGCTTAAATATGTTATTGAAGAATATTCTGTATTTTAAAACTATTTATGTTATTATGATTAAAGGAAGATATGAGGTATGCAGTTGAGAACAGTTCCAACATTTCTTCAGAAGAGTCAGAATAATCTGGCATGTAAGTGTGTTAAACTGTTTTCTAAAACAGATCTGCCTTTAACCCTAGAAAAGTTGTGCCTTGTTCAAGGGAAGAATTGTCAATAACTGCTCTAGGCCTAGGTAGAACTGTCAAAATCCGAGAAATTAGTTCATCTGCTGTAACACTAGCTTATCAACACTGAGGTCGTGAGTTCGAACCCCGCACGTGAGAGGTCCCTTAAATGCAAATCTTAATTGACTATTATTGTCATTTTTTCTGTCGAAGGTCGATGGTTCTCTCCGGGGCACCCCCCTCCCCCCGACCAAAAGAAAATTACCTCCACGATATAGCCAATAATGCTGAAAGTGGCGTTAAAAACAAACAATCAATCAATCAAATTTCAAACGTTAATTTTAGAAGCAGAAGTTATATGCATTTTTTAAGCGTAAAATATATCTTATTGCTTCAAAAAGATTCAAGGTGTTTGCAGCTCTGTTTCAAAATGTCAAGCTTTTTAAAAGACTGTTATATATTGATAATGTATAAATACCAGAACTAAATAGGAGAAAAACATGAAAGGTCCGTTTCCTTGTTAGTGAGATATGGTTCCGGGGGTTGGAACCCCCCTTTTTTGACAATCCTTGTTTTTGAATGGGGACATATGGTTGGAATCCCCCCTTTATCCTAAGTTGGAATAAAAAAAGGCTCCGCCGCTGAAATGATATAACATGATAAAACCAGATGATACGAATATCGGACAAAAGTAAAGTCAATAACAAGATCAGTGAACATGCTTAAAGTTCAGTGGCAAGTAAAATGATCATTCAGGACGAAAACAAGATGTGATAAAAAAAAACTGCTTTGTACTATACTGACACGCTTATCCTGATTTTTAACGTGCTAGTTCACAAGGTAACAGTCCACAGGAAGGCATGTTACCTTACCGAGACACATTATTCCGACTCGGAGCCGAATAATCTTATTTCTTACTCTTGAATGCCGCGTGCTTAGCGGAGTAGCATCAAATACCAATTTTATAGTCCAATCTTTTATGGTTAACCAGGCCGGGGTTTAAACCCACAACCAGTCGCACTCGAGGCGAACATGCTTCCAGTACACAACAGAGAAGGTATACAAAAAAAAGAAAGGGAATCAAAAGACGAGTGACGAGGTGAGTATATCGAAGGTATTAGTGTACATTTACATCTTTGCTGTTGATCTGCAATGGAAATCGATAACGCAGATAATGTTGTGCAAAAGCCGTCCTAGGCCATACCTGGTGTTTACAAGACTTAGTGCAAGTACACAGTGTACAATATGATAGAAACATGTGGTTTCTGTTCACAGCTGTTGTTTCCAGTGATGTAGCTAAGAAGGCTTCAGAAGGCAAACTGTTCCAGTGGGTGCTTGTGCGTGGTATATAGCTGTACATTTTGAACTTGTAGACATATGTGCAGGAACTGATCTTGGCCAGTTTCTTTAGATGCATGGTATTGTCTTGTTGAGGTGGATGGTCTCCTCACATATGATGGTAAGTATACTACCACTTTCTTGTGTTGCTTTGTAGAATATGGTTATTCTACAAGATTTCAGCCCTAATTTAGGAGTCTGCTATTCTAGGACATACATGATGTACATCACTGTCCCTGGTTCTCGTGTGTATGTTGAGATTACAAATCTGGCAGCTCTGTAGATTTATTAAGGGAATTTGCTTCGGTACACTTCTAAATTGTACGTTTCATCTATTGTCAAAATAATTGACTAGTATATTTATGTTATATTGACTTGGTTGTTTGTCCAGTTGAATATTAAGTGAATTCAAAAGTAGCTTCCTAACAAACTTATCTTTACTTAATATTAAGTTTTTCCCCAAGAAAGGAATACAACTATAGTTTTTTTTAAATTATAGTCACCTTTACAGTTCATTATACGCTTGGCATATACACACATAAACGAGACTTGTTAGGTTTCATGTGCTAATTAGGATGTTCGCTCCTCTGTTTCAAAATAACAAGCACTTTAAAGGACTGTAATACACTGATAATTTATAAATAACGAAACATAAAAAGTGGAAAAATGATAGTATAAACAGACTTATTAAGAAGGGATATCGTTACGATACTGTTGTCAGGTCATTAAAGATTGCATATTTTGGCTTTAATATTGATTCACTTATAGGGTCTTTGCATCGTAATTAAACATATTTATTCTAAAACCAGTTGTTGGCATGACACGGGTTATGTTCTTCTCATATATACTATGACGGTATAATACTAAACCCCTAACAGGAGGGATTGTGCCTGATATTCATATGATGAAGACATAATCTTTCAGTCAGTTTAATTGAGGTCTTGAGCTGGCATGTCAGTAACTGCTAGTAGTCTGTTTTATTTATGTATTATTGTCATTTTGTTTATTTTCTTTTGTTTCCTATTCTGACATCGGACTCGGACTTCTCTTAAACTGAGTTTTACTGTGCGTACTGTTGTACGTTTGTTTTTTCTACATTGGCTAGAGGTATAGGGGAGGGTTGAGATCTCAAAAAACATGTTTAACCCCGCCACATTTTTGCGCCTGTCCCAACTCAGGAGCCTCTGGCCTTTGTTAGTTTTGTATCATTTTTAATTTTAGTTTCTTGTGTATAATTTAGAGTTTAGTATGACGTCCATTATCACTGAAATAGTATACATATTTGTATGGGGCCAGCTGGAGGACGCCTCCGGGTGCCGGAGTTTCTCGCTGCATTGAAGACCCATTGGTGGCCTTCGGCTGTTGTCTGCTCTATGGTCGGGTTGTTGTCTCTTTGATACATTCCCCATTTCCATTCTCAATTTTATTATGTCCTTATTTTTGAGTTTTAAGATACAATCAATTGAAAATTAGGCGAGAAATAATTTTCTCTAGATTTTTCTTAAATTTATAGATTAACATTGACAACATTTTTCTTATAAAAGCTATGAAAATAACAAGGATGTTATAAGATTTTCCAAAATGGCTTTGAAAACTATATGTAATAAAATTGTGAAAAAAGTAGGTGTTAGCGGGCAAAATTTTTATTGGCACTACATGGATAAAACTAGAGGATTCCTAATATGTATAAAAAAGTCAAAAGCAAAAGTAGCGAATATTCTTAAGACCTCAAAACATGTATAACGTGAATTGTGTATTGTCCAGTAGGAGCTTGAATAACGTTTATAGTCCTCGAGTTGTGTTCACATATAATGTTGCCTTCAGTACTAGGAATGAAAGTTCTTAAGTGGTAGGACCAATTTTCCCTCAATTTATTTCACACCTTGGCCATTTAAAAAAAGTATTTCGATCTTTACCAAAATTCACAGTAACACAGCTTCATGTGTGTAATTTGAGAATCTAACAATTATAGTGCTATGGCTTATTAAAGATTATCATATTAAACGCCTGAAGATAGCATAAAACCGTAATTTTGACAGCGTATTGCAAATTTTGAGTATTTATCCCAAAATTGTATCTGAAGGACATTCTTAGCCGAATCTAAAATTCTATTAGAAGTACAGATTTGTATTTTCTTTTGGGTAAGTATTATTTCATTTTGGTTAGAGACGTTCGTTGCTGAAATCTTTTTAAAGACACAACACATTTGCAAAATCGTAACAAAATGCCTCCAACAGCAACAAGTAACGCTTGATAGCATTTTTATCTATATTACTGAATGAATAGAGTTGAAATTGGATGTCGCGTTTTCTTCTTTCACATAAATTCCACGAATATTGTTTTATACCACAAAGGAGTAATGACCAGAATAATTTTTATGTGTTCATTTCAAGATCTTTTGGAGAGTATTTGGGTGTTAAAATTGGAAAAAAAGTCGGTTTGGATCGATCGTCCTTCACGACATTTGGATCTGAAATTTACGTGCCGTCATCATTTCCGTTATTTCACGTATGCCCGGCAAAATTAAATTCATTTCGTAGCAGATACGGTAAATATTGAACTTACACTGAAACACTTTGTGATACACATTCCCTTGACGCTCTCAGCAATTTAACAAAAACAAAAAATTTTTACACGTCAAGAGCTTAAATTTCCTTTTGGGGAACCGCATCCATTCAACATGAAAAGGGTGGGGGGATTACTTCAGTTTTCGGTTAAAAATGGGTACCGAAGTGCGGCTGGAATGTGACCCACCCCCATTCAAATATTAATGCATAAAATTTT